ATGAAAGAAAAAACGTAGAAACGTATATTTGATTTTAGAAAAAAAATAGCATGGAAGATATAAAACTCACAACTGAAGTCATGGGTGGCAATGTAATAATAATAATGATCATTATATACAGTATTCATTCCCAAAACTGATAAATAATAATCCGTGCATTTGGTATATAGCGCCTTTCATGCAGGAGGATGTTGCAAAATGCTTCACAGGGTATGTTGGATACTCCTTTGAGAGTAAATTGACAATTAACAAAAAGGTCAATAGGAAGAATAGAAGCAGAATTAAAAACAAACAAAATACATTCTGGAACAAAAGAATATGAGGCTATAATGAGGCAAATACCAAGACCACTATAGTTAACTGGCAACCTGAGGCATAATTGGAACTGGTTTGAACGGGATTTCACAGTATTTGCCTAAGCCACCAATATGCTGCAGCAGCCAAGAAAACAGCAAGAAAACAGCAAGCTGCTATTTTTCTAAATGTAGCAGGGGAAGATGCCAGAAATACATTGAGACCCTAGAAAGGGATATATGCATACCTTCAGATGATATAATGCATATTATGAGAGAAAGGTGTATGGACACCGTTGACAGATATAAGTTTGGCACAAGAAAACAAGGGTCTGCGGAAACATTTATCCAATATATTGCTGTATTAAGGTCACTCAGCAAAACATGCAACTATGAAGCCTTGAGAGCAGAAATGATTAAAGATCGAATTGTGATAAAGATTGAAAACAGAATATCATATAATAATCCTTGTATTTGATATAGCGCCTTATCACATCTTCAAGATGTCTCAAAGCGCTTTACAGTGTATACTGTAAAGTGAATTGACTATATTTTGTGGGTGACAGAATATGGAGCAAGCTTCTGAAACAGGAAGACTTTACAGAAAGTGGTACAAATAATAAACATAAAAGAAACGTCCAAAGCACATATGAAAGAGTTTAAGCAAAATGAGGAACGAGAGATGGAAATTGATGAAGTGGCGAGGAGAAGGAGTTGGAATAAAACAGATGAAGAGTACGGAGTACACCGGTATACAGACCTAGAGAAAAGATGTATAACAAGTAGACATGTGAGCAATGTGGACTAGAACATCCTTTCAGAAAGTATCCAGAAGGGAAAGTGTATTATATTTATAACAAAAATGGGCATTACGCCAGAAAGTGCAGAAATAAACAACAAAGGACAGAGAGGAACAGGGCACAGATCACAGGGGAGTAGAATGACAGGAAGCAGAGAATATAGGAGGACGAGTGACTATCTGAGAACTAGGATTGCACAAGTGCAATTAAGGGATGGGGAAATGTTGAGCAGCTCGGAGGTGGAATCTAATAGTAGTGAGGAGGAAGAAGAATATAATATTGATACATGGAAATTACCCCCACCCTTCAGCTTTTCAGCCTAGCAGTGGGTGGGAACCCGGTTGTTGGTCAATTGGCGGATCACTTTGCCGGGGGTAATAATTCCGTTAAAAAAATTAAAAATTAAATTGGTCACTCAGTCCACAACTGTTTGTGGGACACTGCTGTGCGCAATTGGCTGCTGCGCTTTGCCCAGAAAACATACAGTCAATTCACTTTATAGTGTATTCTGTGAAGCTCTTTGAGACGACTCGAAGATGTGATAAGGCGCTATATCAAGTGCAAGGATTATTATTATTACAGGAAAAATGGATAGAGAAGAAAGAGAGGGTAAATGGGTGGTATTGCTATGGTGCATGAAAAGGGAAAAACGCATACAATGCAAATTGGGCACTGGAGCACAAGCTAGTGTGATGTTAGTATATGAGGAGTATATGAGGCTGGGAGAAACACAGAGGGAAATGTTGGAAATAGGAAAAGGAAGGTTATTAGCATACGGCAGAAAGTAGAAAGAGTAGAAGTAGAAACAAGGTATAAAAGTAAAGTATATAAAATACTATCTACATAGTTAAAATGCAGACAGATACATTGTTGCATCTACAGGACAGAACTAAAATGGAACTGTTGAAAAGAATACAAAATGAAGAAAGAAAATAAAAGATTAGAAACAGAGGAAATAATAGGAAAACACAAACACGTTTTGGGTAATAGAGTGTAAATGAAAGGGGTGTATGAGATAAGAATAAAGGACAAAGCAAAACCAGGAATACAGCCACTGAGCCAAGTGTACCAAAACAAGGACAGGATGAGGCAATCATGTGGCACGAGAAACCCCAGCAAGCTTGGACAAAAATAGGAACAGACTTGTTTTAATACAAAGAAAAGTATCTTGTAGTCGTGGATTACACGTCCTGTTATCTTGAATATGCTGAACTACCAGACATGACCGCAGAAACAGTAATAAATAAAATACAAGGTACGGACGGAATACAGAAATAGTGATAATTGACAATGGACCACAATTTGTAAATTAAGTATATAGGAAATCTATAAAGGGTTGGGGAATCGAGCACTGAACAGCATCCACAGAGCAATGTTTGGTGGAGAGAACAGTGTAGACAATCATTTTTGTAAAGGAACACACCAATACAGACCAATGAAAGATCACTGGCACAAATATTAATGTCAAGACGATTAAGGGACAGATTAATATGCAGAGAAAACAGATTCAAACTGCAACTGCAAAGAAAGACTAGAAATGCAAATTGAAGAGAGAAGGGAAAGAGAAAAGCTTTGAAATAAAAGAGAAGGTGTGGTTCAGAAAGAAGAATATCAAAACAGAGCGGTGGACAAAAGGAAAAATAGTGAAACAACCAAGGATTGTATAGAAGACAAGAAAGGAAACCGATACAGAAGAATGTCATGCGAGATGAGAAAAAGAGCTGCGGATGAACAAGAAAGCTGAACAACAAGAGATAATCAAAGATGTACCAGAAGAAAAAGAGACAAAGCGGACAAGATCGGGAAGAGAAATTAGACAATCAGCAAGATTAATAGAAGGTTAAAGAAAAACTGAAGAAAGGAAGATGTTGGATACTTCTCTAAGTGTAAATTGGCAATTAACAAAAGGGCCAATAATAACAACAACAAGAACAAAATTACATTTGTATAGCGCCTTTCACGTTGGGAGGTCGTCCCGAGGCACAGTCAGTGTTTCAGACCTGAGGTGGGAGTCGGGATTGGGGAGGGTGGAGGGCAGGGGAGGAAGCACGGTGATCAAAAGCACGGTTAAAGAGGAGGGTCTTGAGATGGGTCTTGGGAGGAAAGGGAGGGGGTGAGACAGAGGGACTGTGGGATGGATTTCCAGAGTAGCAGAAGGCCTGCCCGCCAATAGTGGGCCGGACGAGGCGGTGGACGTGAAGCAGGCAGAAGCCCACTGATAATAATAACAACAAATTACACTTGTATAGTGCCCTTCATGTCAGAAAGATGTCCCAGGGCGCTGGACAATCAGGAGTTTTGGATCCGAGCTGGGAAATGGGGTCAGAAGGAGAGGAGGGCAGACGGAGTAGGGGTAGGAGGATGGCTGAAGGCATGGTTGAAGAGGAAGGTCTTCAGACAGGACTTGAAGGAGGCAAGAGAGGGGGTGAGGAGGAGGGATTGCAGGATAGAGTCCAGAGTGTGGGGCAGAGATGCTGAATGCCTGACTGCGAAAGATGGGGTGGAAAGTGTGGGGTACCTGAAGCAGGCCAGTGACCGCTGAGCAGAGGGAGCAGACAGGCTGATAGGGGTTATAAGGTCAGAAAGGTAGGGGGGAGCGAGACTGTGAAGCTAGAAGGGTAAGAAGTACAAAAGGACACTGAGTGGGACAAAGTGCGTGGTTTAGAGAGGTGGATTGACAAATTAAGCTTACTAACACATCCTTGATTTGGATTGAATGATATTACAGGGGATGCTTTAAAGTGAGGTGACTGTGTTTTGTGAATGTTGTGATGGGTCACTCAGTCTGGATTAAATTAAAGAGACACAGGGGTCATTGCGATATGTTTCAGGGGAAGGGGAAATACCAGGGATCTCACTCCAGATACCTAATCCTGATGGCAAATGTGCACAGCAGGACAGAATTAGATTCATTTGTAAAAGCCCTTGTAATACAACAGTTCTAAATTTAGGCTTCAACTCCAGGACTACTGGCGTCCTGATCGACTGCCTGTCCGACATCAAGTCCTGGACGAGGGTCAACTTTCTCCAACTCAACGTCAGCAAGACCGAGGCCCTCCTGATTGGCTCCCGCCAACACCTCTGCACCTCAGGCGCTGGCAGCATCAGCCTCCACGGCTACACACTCAACCTCACTAAGCCAGTCAGGAACCTGGGTATCTTGTTAGACCCTGAACTGTCCTTTCTTCCCCACATTCACGCCATGACCGGCACTGCCTACCACCACCTCCACAACATTGCCAGACTCCGCCACTGCCTCACCCCTCAGGCTGCCAAAACCCTCAACCATGCATTCGTCACATCAAAGCTCGATTATGGAAACTTCCTCCTCATCGGCCTTCCCAACACTTCCCTTCACAAGCTGCAGATCATCCCAAACTCTGCAGCTCGTGTACTCTCACGCACCAGGCACCGTAACGCCATCACTCCCACCCTCGCCCAACTCCACTGGCTCCCCATCCCCCAGAGGATCGAGTTCAAGATCCTCGTCCTCACCTTTAAGGCCATCCATGGCCTTGCCCCCTCCTACCTCTCTGACCTGCTGACTCCCTACCAACCTGCCCGCTCCCTCCGTTCATCAGGCCACGGCCTGCTCCATGTCTCCCGCCCGACCCGCCCTACCATCGGTGGCCGGGCTTTCAGCCTCTCTGCCCCCAAACTCTGGAACTCCATCCTACACTCCCTTCACCTCGTTTCCTCTCTTGCCTTCTTCAAAGCCGGTCTCAAGACCCTCCACTTTGATTGTGCCTTCGGTCGCCCTCCCACCTCTCTGCCTTCCCTCACCCCTACACCACCCCTCCCCCATGCTCGGGCCCCAACACTTGATTGTTCAGCGCTTTAGGACGTCCTCCCGACATGAAAGGCGCTCTATAAATGTAATTTTGTTGTTGTTGTTGCTTGAGTATGAAGAGCTGGCACTGGGGTGTGGTACCAGGAGGCTGCAACATCTTTCAAACAATAACTCAAGACACCATCAGAAGACAAAGGGTGAGCAGAGAAAATTGAAGGAAAGATCAAGAGACCTAAATTATTAAAGGTATTCTCTCAGGTGTAACATAGACACCACAAAGTTATTAACAATTTTTTTCTTCAGTCAAGTTTCTTTAAAATACTGACATTTATACCGTTTAACGTGTGACATGCAACATTAGCAAAAAAAAATTCCAAACATAATAAAGGGATGGCAATCAAACTGATAAACCAAAAGTATTTCAACCCAAAGACATTTTTTATTCCTTGTATCAAAGTTGTTACAACTTGTCTATTTGAGGCACAGTGGATGAGGTAAGTGTCTGAACACAAAATGTGAAAGTAACACCATTATAATTCAAGAAGAGGGTACATATCACACTTGATGTTTATAACACTTCCAGTTCATTGGGTTTCAAATTTGTTTATTCTTTAGGGCAAACACAACTCTTTCCTGTCAGGCTGTACTACAATTTTGTATGTTTCATATTTCCCCCAAAAATGGAGAAATTCTTGTTCAATTAATTTGCTAACAATAAACTAACGCTTGCTGGCAAAAAAAAATGCAAATGTTTGACATTAATATACCTTTTCTGATGAGTGTATTTACTCATTTTGATTCCTATTTAAAAACCCATTTTCTACTTGTGCTTAGATTAATTTATTTTGTTACCATTCCAAAATATTGGGTATTACAGGACCTAGTAATGTACACCAACTGTAGGCAAAGGTTACAAAATTCAAAAGCTGGCAACAAACCTCAAAATAGAATATGAAAAAAAATAATTTTCAACATTTCAGAAGGATATGCAACAAGAAAGTGGCACACCTGACTTGGGAGTATCTCTGTCCTTGTCAGCAGTTCTCATGTTTGGGCACATAAGCCAAGTGATTAAGTTAAAGTTGACAGCAACTTCAGTAAATGGCGATATCCATCTATAATCCTCGACACCCGCTATGACACTGTCCTGCTCAGTCTAGTCTCCCTGAGTAAGAACTGCTTTCTTGTGAATTAAATTAAATGTTAAATATCTATCTATCTGTAACCTTCTTTTGTTAAATAGGCAGTGTGAACTATTTAGCAAAAGTGCAAGTAAAAAGTGTTATTGTGCCAAGACTAGACAATTGCAATGTGCATGTGTATATTTTGGAGTCCCTTAGCTCAGTGGTTAGAGCACTCGCTTTGCAAGTGAGAGACATGAGTTCAATTCCAGGCAGGGCGAAACCTTGGGCAAGTTTCCTTACTCCACCCGCTTAATAATCCCTCCAAAAAACAAAAACAATAATCAAAATTGGTCATTTTCAATCCATGACTGTTTGTGGGACATTGCTGTGCGCAATTGGCTGGGACGTCCTCCTGACGTGAAAAGCGCTATATCAAATGCAAGGATTATTATTATTATTATTATTATTATTTTCCCTTTGCTCCTCTTGTATTTACAAAATGCATTTTATATTTTGTCTATGGCAGAAATTATTTATAATAGCTCCAGCACATTGGCAGAATAAAATATTTTATTACAAGTTATTTCAGATTGGAGACCCGAATGCGTATCAAGTCTATCGCTTCCTGTGACTTTGAGGGCTTTATTTTTCTTGTGGCAGTGAGAAACAATCTTGAGCTTTTTATTTTCGGTTCAGGATTCATGAAACAGAATCATCTTATAATTAATGTTTTTACATTTAGAAATCGTCCTCAATTTTGCCAAATATAAAACCCACACTGCTTTGCAACTCTCATGCATTAAAGATGAGTGCATGCAATGTGTTACCTGTCAATCAAAAGAACATTTTGTTTCATTTCTAATGCAAACCTAATAAAGGTTGAAAGATTAAGTCTGATGAACTACCTAGCTTACCTCAATGCAGCTCTGCCATAAGTAGACTGTTTTTTTGAAGTTATTTTGAGTCTCATTTTAAAATGGTTGCTTTATGGATTTAAATTGTAAATACTGCAGCAATTTTGGAATTGTTCTGGAAATCACAGTGTTCTACATGACAAAGTGACCCTTATACTATATTCTAATAATAATCCTTGCATTAGATATGTTGCCTTATTACGTCAATGAGACGTCTCAAAGGCTTTACAGAGTATATTGTAAAGTGGATTGACTGTATATTTCGGGGACGAAATGCAGGAGCCAATTGCGCACAGTAGTACCCTATAAACAGTCTTTAATTGTTTTTGGGGGGAGGGATTATTACCGCCGGAAAGCGATCCACCAACTGACTGGGTACCTATAGTTACTGCTAGATAACAACAACGATTACATTTGAATAGCACTTTTCACGTCGGGAGGACGTCCCAAGGCGCTGGACAGTTTTCAGCATTTCAGACCCGAGCTGGGGTCAGATAAACAGGCGTGTGGAGTAAGGAAACTTGCCTAAGGTTTGGCCCGGCCAGGAATTGAATCTGGAGCCATTATCATTATTTGACCTTACACCCGGTATTGTAGTCTTCTCGAGGATGTTGTCAATGTCCCTGTATAAATGCGTTAGTAAGTGTTTTAAATAATCATAGAACAAAATGCAGTTGATTTTTTAAAATCAGAAGTGCTTCAAAAATGTGTTTGTAGCAATCAGGTATTGTATGTCTAAAATGTGGCAAATAGTCCAAATAACACTGTCTTATTGCTACTGCCACACAAAAAAGTGCAAGTCTTTTTTCCTTCTCAGTGTCTTCATGCCATATACAATTCAAGGGATAAGCTGCTGACTTGATTTCCTTTATTCAGGAGGTGCATGTGTAGTCAGGATGATTCAATCCCAATGCCCTTCTGCCTCAAGGTGAGTCCCTTTGCTCAGAGATTTCCTTAATTGTGTTGGGAATCTCAGAGATGAGTCTGCAGCCAACCACTCCACCAATACTTCATGTCACCACAATAGATAAACTCTGAGTCAAAGTACTGGATTATTTTATGAATTTTCCAGAATGTCAAAACACAGGTTATAAAAACTCAATTGTTTGTTGTTTTCTGCAAGTCTCAAGGGTTGAAAAACATTCACTGCTAAGCTCAGAACTTTTAGGTCCAGTAATTTGATTTTAGGCCCAGTAATTGAGGAACATTCTCTCTTCCTCCCCCCTCCCTCACAACTTGGGCACAATGGCTCAAACCAAATATTTCTCTGCCTCAATAGCTGGTCTGATTTCTCTGGATTGGGTGGTTTGGTAGAGTTTGAAGGGGTTGCAGGGTGGGACAAGATCATGAGGCTAGGATAAGGATCTTGAACTCGATCCAAAGGGGAATGAGGAGCCAGTGGAGCGGGTAAGGATATGGTGATAGGCTTGCGGAGATAGGCACGTATATGTGTGTCTGCAGGGGGAGGGAAATAAAGAGTTAAACTTAGCGTTCTGAATAATTATCTTTTCACATCATCTTTATAATGGTTTTCCCATCATATAATTAAAAAAAATTGTTATTCTTGGTGTCCCCGTAAAATAACCTCTAAAGTATGCTGGTTATTTTTTGAAATACCAGCAAAATTATGTAATGATTTATCTGTCCAATAGTACATTGATTTTTGAATAGGAAATCTCACGGCTGGGACACCTTTTAAAAAACAATTACAAAGCAACATTTGTTGTCTCTTGTTTTTTCAATATGTTCGTTTGAATTGTTTGCTAATCATTGCACCAAGAGAACTGTCTGGAAGCCATTAGAGGAAAACACTGTCCTGCGAGTGTGTGTGTGTGTGTGTGTGTGTGTTGCGTGTGTGTGTCTTGTGTGTGAGTGTATTGCATGTGTGTGTGTTGAATGTGTGTGTGTGTGAGTGTATTGCATGTGTGTGTGTTGAATGTGTGTGTGTGTTGTGTGTGTGCGTGTGTGTTTGTTGCATGTGCGTGTGTATGTGTGGTGCATGTGTGTATTGATTCCGTCACACCATTTCCCCATGTGGTCATGTCCATTCACAATTTAAATCTACACAAAACCAACAGAAACACATTAAATAAAAATCATGTGATTCACAATCCCTATAGCTATTTTCTTATCAAAAAATGTGCTCCTAATGACTCACAATAGGACAGATATGAGGCTTTTTTCAGCCCTCATTTATTTTCTGTAAACTTTTGAATATTTAGGGCAATTTTCCTGCAAAATATACTCATTACTACAGTAGTACAATGCTGGGACTAATCACTCAGATGCTATTTTAAAAAAGTTAGAACACTTTTAATTGAAAGATAACGCTGATTATGAATTACTGCATGTGGTCCTTTAAGCTGTGAATACACTAAATATATATATATATTTTACGTTTGTCCCCTGGGCCAAATTAGTCCCATAACAAAATATCCCCAAGCATAAAGTGTAGCGTTGTAACACAGCTTCCTAAATGTGGGTCAAAGACACGCGCAAGTTCATAATCAAATTCCACGCCCCTCAAACCACCAAAGGCAACAAAGGCACTAGTTTCAGTGTTAATAATGTCATGATCTGACCCCATCTCGCCAGTTCTGGACAGGTTCCACTGGCTCCCCATCACCGAACGGATTGACTTCAAGATCATCACTCTCGTCTTCACTCTCTGGCACCTCCCTACCTCTCGGACCTCTTCTCTGCCTAATCCACCACAGGACGCTTCTGTTCGACTGGCACTGGCCTCCTGCTTGTCCCACACACCGTCTGCTCCAACCTTGGAGGTCGCGCTTTCAGCCACTACGCCCCGAAACTCTGGATACCCTCTGCCTTGCCCCCTCTCTTGCCGTTTTCAAGTCCTGCCTGAAAACCTCCCTTACAGCTACCCTCCCCCGCCCTCCACCCCACCGGCTCCGAGCCAGGCTCCGCCACTGTTAAGTTCTCTGAGACACTACTCTGCGTAGAGGGCGCTATGTAAGTGCAAGTTGTTGTTGTACATCATCAAGATGCTGGATTGACATCCCTAACCAAGAGTATAAATATATAACCTTAGTACAGACAGTGCAATTTTTGGGAGAACAGAATACATCTTACAGGGTGGCGTTGTGAGGTTTGTCTGTAAACAATATAATTCTTAAGCTAATTTATTGCATCTTTTTCTGTGAATCAAACTAGGACATAACAACCGTGATACAATTCTAATTTAGGCATTCCTCCCCCCCCACACACAGTGTGTTTTTCCCTCTAATGTATTAGTCAGCTCATCCTGTTGTTTTATTCATGCAAATTTGTTAACCTCCTGGGAAATAAAGAAATTCATAACATAAACTGCTAAAGTAAAAATCGGCTGAAGCAGATCAAAATCTACATGTTGATGAAAAAACAGTTACTAGTTCTGAGCTTTGTTTCCGATTTTGTGAGAATTTTATTTTGTTACACAACACACATTTGTAAAAAGCACATTGACAGCCCTTTGGGCAGGTTGATTTTGAGGCAGCCTGCTCTGAATATTCAATTTCCATAGCTGCCATCCTGCATTTTGAAACATAGGAATATATACAGGACTGGAAGACCATTAAAATCCATCTGATGGGTCCCAAAGTTTAAATAAGATTCCTGCAGAACTCTATCTCGCTTACTCCTCAATTGAATTTCTCAACAAACAGTTATCTAATTCACTTTTGTATCTGTTGGCACAATCTGCCTCCAATGCCTCCTTGAATACATTCAACATTTTATGTGTAAACTAATTACATGTAAGCTTCTCCCTCTTGAGTAAAATGCATATTCTCTTTCTTGACCACATTAAACACTTGGATTTGGGTATAAATCTTGAATAATTCAACAAGATCTTCTTTGAGCCTTCCCTTCTTTACTGTGGCCTTCTCACCTTTAGTGTGAACACTTTTAATGCCTTTCATATCTCAGAGGCCCTAAATTCCACTTCTTAAAATTTAGGATTGTGTAGAATTGGGGAACATTGTTTAATTTAGTTTTAACTGGAAGGTGGGTTCTTCCCAAGGGCAAAACCTTGTACAAGTTTCCTTACTCCACACGCCTCTATTTACCTAGCAGTAAATAGAAATCCAGTTGTACCTCACTTAGTAGATCACTTTCCGATGCTAATAGACCCTTCAAAAATAAATAACTAATAATTTGGTCCCTCAATTCCCGACTGTTTGTGGGACACTACTGTGTAAAATTGGTTGCTGCGGTTCGCCCACAAAATATACAGTCAATTTACTTTACAGTATATTCTGTGAAGCGCTTCGAGGTGTCTCAACAACGTATTAAGGCGCTATTTCAAATGCAAGGATTATTTATTATCTCTTTATTATTATTTATGCAGTTCTTAAAAAAGGAAGGCTACAACTGACCACAACTTATTCTTCAAATGTGACAGGTTAAGACTAACTTGAAAATTGGAAGTAACTGTAACAAGAACAGATGTCTCACAATTTTGATGGATGCCAGCACAGGAAGACTTAGTGAAATTGTCCTGGATACCAACAACAGGTAACAGATTTTAACAAATTTGTTTCAGGAAGTGATGGTTAATTCTAAATTTAAATGTATGAATACAATGAATACTTGTAGACAAAAGTATTGTCTGAGATGTCTGCTTTCTTGTTAAAAATAAGCAGTTACACTTATCTGCGTATCGTTTAATAGCACTGAAACGTTAGAAAGGTGATACACGAAGCCTCATTACTGGTATATTTTATATCTTAGTCTGCCCTGTGAACTGTGTTTCCCTTCTCTCAGGAAACAAGAGAGGTTCAGGTGAAGATGGGGCATTTGACCTCACCCTTTCAGAAGACCCACTCTATCACCTTCCTATCGAAGAATCAACCTATTTTCTTAACGAGTCCAGCATTCTGGCCTCAAACACACTTGTGTTTGTGTAACCTGGTAATTTCCCTCTGGGTAAAGAAATATTTCCCAGTGTCTGTCCTTAAATTGTCTGTCGCTTTGAGACGTCTCAAAGACGTGATAAGGCGCTATATCAAATGCAAGAATTATTATTATTATTATATTATTATTATTGATCTCCCTGCACTGTTTCTAGGGCCCCTTGTGTCCCAAAACACACAATCCTTTTGCATCAATTAAAATGAGAAGCACAGTACTTCCATCTCCCTTTAAAATGCAAGAACATATTGTGTAACAGAAAGTATTCCAATAGGCAAAGTTTAACAGGTTTGTATAAGATATAAGTCCTCTAATTCACACTTACCCAACTGAACTTCAGCTTTGAGAATATGATACTATTTGACATAATAGTTTGTAGGTGTCCTTCTATGCTACCAAAACAGCAGGAGAGGAGACAACAGCAACAAACATTTTTAACGAATAGAGATTAAAGGAAAATAAATCACAATCCAAATATCACATATTTAGAATAAAAAAAACTTGGAAGTATCACAATGTACCTGGGTGTACCAGTACCAGCAAATGTTTTGTGTTGGATTCATGATTGAATCTATTCTTTAATTTTATTGGTTATCTTTGAGTGTTTTTTTTTCTCTTTTTGTTAGATGGCAAGATGCCAAGCACACGTGATCAGGGTATTCTATACAATTTGGCTTGTGCCTAATCATTTCTAGGACTGACAATTGTGGTACAATTAATGTTAAGTTTTATCAAGTGATAATCAACAGTTGCTCACCAGGAGAAGGTCATCACATGTACAGACCTACATAGCTTGAACATCTGGTTGCTGTTTACGTTGTACTTTGAATAGACAATCGGTGCAATTTCACCATGAAAATTAGGCTGAGCAGAACAATTCAGAAGCAAATCTTGCTGGAATTCCACTCCTAAGATGACCATGGGGAAGTGGTTCTGGTAGTGCTTCAATTTGCACAAATAAGTACAAATACAGTGAATGAAATTTGATTCAGATTGCTCCTTTACCCCTACACTGAACTCAGCATCCCTACTGTAGGTTGGAGTCCAGTAGCTCAGTGGTTAGAGCACTCGCTTTGCAAGTGAGAGACCTGAGTTCAATTCCAGGCAGAGGGCGAAACCTTGGGCAAGTTTCCTTCCTAATAATAATCCCTCCAAAAACAAAACAATAATAAATTGGTCATTTTCAATCTACGACTGTTTGTGGGACATTGCTGTACGCAATAGGCTGCCGCGTTCGCCCACAAATATACAGTCAATTCACTTTACAGTGTGTTCTGTGAAGCAATTTGGGACGTCCTCCGGACGTGAAAAAGCGCTATATCAAATGCAAGGATTATTATTATTATTATTATGAACAGTGCCTGGTCAATGCAAGGTGGGATGAGAAGAGAAAGAAGTAGGAATTCAGTGTTTGACTCCACATCGCTCTATTGATGGAAGCAATATTGCTTTGGGGTCCAGGCATATAGACAGGGCATGATTTAATAATATAATAATAATAATAATCCTTGCATTTGATATAGCGCTTTTCACGTCTTCTAGACGTCCCAAAGCGCTTCACAGAATATACTGTAAAGTGAATTGACTGTATATTTGTGGGCGAACACGACAGCCAATTGCGCACAGCAATGTTCCACAAACAGTCATGGATTGAAAATGACCAATTTATTATTGTTTTGTTATTTTGGAGGGATTATTATTAGGCATGTGGAGTAAAGAAACTTGCCCAAGGTGTCGCCCTGCCTGGAATTGAACTCAGGTCTCTCGCTTGCAAAGCGAGTGCTCTAACCACTGAGCTACAGGACTCCACATTTATTACATTTTGTGATTTATTCATTATAAAACAAATCACCATATTATTTCATCAGAAAACAAAACTGATAAAATAATAAGAAGAATCCTTACATTTAGTACAGCAACCATTCATATTTTATATTTCTTATTCATATTTCTATGGAGGACGTCCCATAGCACCTCACAGGGTATACTGTGAAGTGTATTGACTGTGTTTTGTTGGTGGAAGCTAACATGCTGTTTGAGATTAAGACAGTTAAAGGTACACTTTTTTTCCCACACGTAAAATTTTATGAAGTAAACAAAATCAAACCACATGTTCCCATCATTTCCATGTTGTATTGTGCTGAAAATTAAGTATTACTTTTCTAGATATTCTCCTCCCAAGCAAAAAAAACCCAGGTGTTCATGAAGACAAAGTTTCTTTAAAACGAAGAAACAATGCCCGGGTTCAGATAAAATATATGTTTAATTATACTTACCTTACTCTGTTGCTAGTGAATAACCCTACCTACCTTCATAGTTACATTCTGTCTCCTCAGTTTATTTACAAAACACAATGGATTTAAAAATTAGGAGCTAAATAAAATAGCAGCTGTCTTGTTGAAGATAAGCAGTTATCCTCATCTAAATATCACTTACTTGCATTCAAACATTATTTTTAAGGGGATGCTTCTTCCCTTTATTAAATGGCATAAATGATAGCCTAAAAATGGAAATAGTGTGAATAATTCCTCTCACATTTCAGTAATCACAAAACACGTTCCCCTGAAAACAGTCTGCTGTAAACAGATTTTATGATGTTTCTATAGCAACTGTGTGAAATGGATTCTGTGAGGATGATAAATTTGCCGGAGTGAAAGGATTGTTAAATACAGCTTGATTAATGATTTGAAGTGAAGATTTAACATGTATGCCCAATATCCATTTAATTTTGTAGCTCCAACAATTCCTCAGGATTTCTGGGAAGTACTGGAATAGTAGTTTGAGTCTCTGTGTTCTGTGTCATTCTGGTGATATTCCCAAACAAAAAAGTAATAATGTGTATATGTCGATAGGGATTAATCTTGGAGGACAAAGTGAACTCAACATCCTCTGCAATAGGCTCTCCTTTACACCTTGACCCTACTTCAAAGAGTCAGCAACAAAGTTCACAGCAGCACCCTAAAGCACAGTGAAGACATGATTTACTTTGTAAAGGATTCTAATTATAGCATCCGGTTAGAAATGATTTGCTGCTTGTGTAAATTAAAGTGACGTTTGGAGTAGTTGTGCTTGTAGTCAAATGTATACCACCAGGACAGAAACTGAATCTAAATGGAACCCAAATCCATCAAATACTGTAGATACACATTTTCAGCTTTTCCATTCTATCTTGGATGTTAGATAGAACATTTATACAGACTGTAGGACAGATAGTTCAAGTCTAATTTTCTATAAGATTGTTTCCACAAACAGTTTTTGTTATACAAAAATACATAAATCTGTACCTTCCAGGTCATAGAACATTAGTAGGGTAAACTAATGTGTGTTGCACCATTCATTGTGTATTCCCTGTCATTTTTCATAATTTAATATCAAACAATTCTGTGCTTTAGAGGAGGGAGGGAGGGAGGGAGGGGAAAGAGAAAGTAACACCATTTTCTTTCCTCTTTTGAATTTTTCAACAGAAATAAGTAAAAACTAGAAATAAAGATACAACATTTCTGAAACAGTGTTGAGACAGAAACTGAGGTCTGATAGGAGATATCAGACAAAGTCAGACATGCTGCTGTTTTGCATGTAGAAGATGTACAATAAGATTCTGCTTGTATCGCTAATGTGTGAGGAGGAGCCGGATCACAAGGGCATATTATTCAAGGAGACTAAAATGGAGATTAAACAGTCTAAAAAACATTATTAAAAGAAATGACATTATTTGTATTACTGCAGTAATACAGCTTTCATTGAATTCCCTCAAATGGTTTCTCACCTAACGCACCCCAGGGTTATCTATATGCTTCCCCTTGTTGACACAGATATACCACTCAGCTCTATCTCTCTGCCTCCACCCTTAATTCCAGGACTCTTTATGTACTGACAAATTGCTGTCAGACATTTGTTCAGTTTTTGAGAACATTTTCATACCTATGGCTCTGATCACCATTTTCTATCCATGAAACATTGCCCATTTACATCTTTATCTCACCCTAACCACTGGCAAAACCTTTAATCATGACTTCATGGAGTATTTTAATAATCGTCTTATTAGCCATCCTAACACAAACCTCCATAAGCTATAACTCATCCAAAATTACAGCCCATGTTCTCCCCTGCATTAAAAGGCCTACAGGGTTTTACATCTGCCTATCATGTAATCTCTTTCAGCCTATTTTCTTGCTGATGCACTCTACTCTTTGAGTTCTTGCTTACTCCTCCTGAGGCAAAAACTTGCTTAAAAGCGAATATATTGTAGCAGGCATAGGGATACCATGGAAGAAGCAGTCAATGCCAGCCAAGGTTGGTAAACAAACAATTTCAACTTCATTCGTCTCAACTCCAACAGATCAGATAAACCATATAAATGGGATCCATGGTAAAGGGATATCAGTTCCCTAACCTGTTCAATTATTTCCACCAGTTACAGTTACAACAACCCCCCCAAATAATATTGGTCATTCACTTCATGGCTGTTTGTGCGACATTGCTGTGCATATATTGCCTGTCACGAAACACAGTCACTGTGTGACTTTACAATGTATTCTGTGAAGAAAAAAATGTGTTCTCTTGAAATGAAAGGCTCTGAACCAAATGTAAAGATTAT